ATCCACGTCATTGCTTTCGTTCATAAATGAAATTATTTGCAAAATTATGTTTTCCATGAGTGTCATTCATCTTTTTTTCCGATTCCTAACCCGACACTTGAATCCCCGTCACACTGGTTGAGCGGCCACCATCAGAAGCTCCATTCCCTCACTCCGCTGCTTCTTCTTCTTCTTCTTCTTGGCTGCTTCTTCTTGTTCTTCTTCTGTCCAGCGATGTGCGGCAGGCCGATCATCGGGCCTCCCTCTGCTGAAGGAGGCAGTCCGTCGCATGAACCGGACGACAGCATCCGGTGTTCGCACCGAGCCGATGAGCTAACGGATGTAAAACGGCTGCGAGTGCGACGATACCTCCACCCGGCTTTAGCTGAGCTGCGATTGTTGAGAGACATGCGACAGGTGCGGTGGCATGCCACTCGTTTAACACAAATTACCCTTGTGACAGGGGGACATAAATGCCCCCTCGATGTGCTATCGAACAGACCGCACTGTCCTGGTCCGGGTTATAAGGGGGCTATTGCCCTCAATTTCTCCCCCATAGACACCAGTGACTATAATTACCGTTAGGCATCAGCTAGATGATGGCGGCCCGATTGGCTATCTATTTTTATATGATCTGAGTTTCACACTTACGTTTTTTTGTCCTGACGTTTTGCAATTTCAATATATTTGTCCTCTTTCCTTTGCTTCTCTTTTAGCAGATCGCAGGCAACGCTGCATAGTGAAGTTGAATTTTGAAAGCGTAAGGGAGACAGACAAAAATGTTGATGTTGTTACCAGCGATCAGCAGATGCATAGGCGGCCGAACGGGGGGGGGGGGGGGCACCGGGACATCGTGCCCCCTTCGATTTTGGCATTTTAACATTAGCGCTATGGGCGTTACTTGGAAAGAATGGGACCAAAAGTCGGCAGTCCCCCCCCCCATCCTTAATGGAAGGTGTTCCGCCGCTACTGAGCAGATACGATTTCTCAGCGGAGTGCCGCCTGCCCACCAGTTTGTCGGGCGGCCGTCGCCCACCGCGGCTTACGCGCTAGGTAGACTGTGCCGCCGCACAGCGGAGTACATCCGACAGCCTATCTCCCAGTGCGGCCCGAGCTCGAGAAACGAAGGCGGGCAACATCGGTTGTGTTTCGAGAAAAGAACACGTGCGGCATTGTTTTGCATCCTTCAACACTCGTTACCTGTCTCAGCTTGTTACTGTGGATGTTTTCTTCAGTCACGCTTTTGCATTTTGAGGAGTCAAGACAGTGTATACTCTATATTCAGCAATCAACCAAGATTCATCCCGCGTAGACTCGGCAAACCTGCGTGGACCGCCTTGAAGTTTACACATGAAAGAGGTCTTGTTATAGAGAAGAACGTTACGGGAAACATTCGGTGGCACTCCTGGCCGTCCTTCCTTGAGAGGCTAACAAATGTCTATCACGGGTCCCGATTTTGACAGAAAGATTTTTCCAGTGCACGGAAGGTCATGGCCCTTCCAGCTGAGCTAGAACTAAATGGCGTCGTTTTTCGGACATTGCACGCTGCCGACGTCAACCGAGATCATATATTCATTAGCGGTCTGCTGGGAAAATCTAGCGACCATCGGATGACGTGTTTTTGACCCCACCTAATGCCTTTTCTGATTTTATAGGCCTGTGTTTTTCACATAACCCCTACATAGCCTTCGGTCATCGCCTGACCTTTTAAATATCTAATTGACCGAACACTGGATAGCTTGAGGTGGGGTGAGTCCTGTTATTTTCAGCGCTTTTCCACAATTCTGTGGATCACAGTTTCTTTTACGAATTTGAGAATTGTGACCTTTTTAGCCTCTCCAGGTCAAATGGTCGAGAGCTCCGCCAATTTTTTCGGCCAGGATTCTCTATCACATAGGCTCTGTGATGACCAGGCTTCAAGTCGATCCCAGGTATCCCTAACTTGGGCTGAAGCTGGCTTGACCACTGCCCGTGATATGTGTAGGTAGTGTATTCCATTTTCTTGTGATTAGAAACGTGCACTGCGTACATGTGATAAGAAGTTTCTCCTACAATTATGATCAGGCCAAGGTCACATTAGGTCACATTAGGGTAGTGTCGTCGAGGTCCTTGACCCTTAATGCATTAGCTGACGGTTCAAAAGCCACAACTTCGTTGAACATTTTTCGTAGGTGGCTTATAATTTAGAATTCATTTTAGCATTAAAAAACTACTTTTGAACCCGTGTAGCACGTAAAGCTATCAGTCGTTCCAAACATCGGCTCATTAGCGTCAGCAGTCGAAACGTTAACTTTGATCTGCAGACATATGCGTCGGTCAATGAACTATTATGACGGTTACTTCCTGCTCAGTTTCAACAGTCGTTAAACAAACCTTCACCGTCACAACCAGTTCCTGTTGATCAGCTGGTGACTGGGCCGGCTGTCCCGCACCCAACCCGACCTGATCCGCTGGTGGTATAAAACCGGCCCCGGTCAGCGGGCCGGTATCACTCACCGTTGCACCGCTACCGTCCCGGCCGTCCGCACCCCACCTCCAGCCATGAGGGCCCTGGTCGCTGTGTGTCTGCTGGCGGTGGCCGCCGCCGACCAGACTGCCTCGGCGTCAGCCGGCGCTCCTCCCGCCGCCGGCCGAACCTACCAGGCGGCGCCGGTGCGGCTGCCGGCCGGCGCCGGCCGCCCCGCCGCCCCGGCCGACCCTCGTGCTGGCTACAGAGTCTCCCCGGGCGGCTTCAAGACTCCGGTGGGTGTGGGTGGTATCCAGCCCGAGTACCAGTACCAGCCGTCGCCGTACGCGTTCGACTACGCCGTCAACAACTACGACTCCGGCGCCCAGTATTCGGCCAACGAGAACAGCGACGGCAAGCAGACCACCGGCTTCTACAAGGTGGCGCTGCCCGACGGCCGCATCCAGACCGTCAAGTACACAGTGGATGACTTCGGCGGCTTCAACGCCGAGGTGTCCTACGAGGGCGAGGCGCGCTACCCGGAGCCGAGCGAGTACAACGTGCCCGTCCACGCCGGCTACAAGTCGGGTCCGTCTGTGGGATATAAGCCGGTGGCCAAGGCGCCGGTGACCTACAAGGCTCCGACATACAACGCGCCGCCCATCTACAAGACCAACAAGGCGCCCGAGGTCACGTTCGCTCAGGCGGCGCCGCCGGCGAAGTAGAGGAAAGTGCGGGGTGCTGAGCGGAAGGGCCCGGCGGTGGTCGAGGGATGCTGTGATGAGTTTTGTTTTGTCCCGGTGAGTGCTTTCAATAAACAGTGTGTTGGAGATGATTATCCATTGTGCAATATTTTAGAAGATTTGGAGATGATCATTTGAAATGTTCGCACAAATAAAACGTGGACATGAAAAACAATGACAGCAAAGATGCACTCAGACTGGATTCGTAAATTTAGCGGGGTCCATCACCTTACTAGTCAGTCATGTCTGGAGCATAACGGTCCCGTCTACTCGTAATCTAACCGCTATAGAGACCGAGCCGTGTCCTGACCGCCAATCGGCCACCGGAACCATCCCAAGGTCCATTCAACTAGTCCCCTTGTGAACGGTCCCTACCAAAAGCAACCCATTGCGAATCGGGCACTGAGTCCCTTTGTAGCAGTTTTATTTATCTCCAAGCAGTTACCAGACCGGTCGCTTATACCTTTAAGACCTTAAATTGACCGTGCCGCGTGCCCTGCATCCGATCAAGCTCCCGTATTTGACTCCTGCTTCAGCCGGTTGGCGACTGCCTCATAAGTCTTATTAAGAACGGAGATGTATCTAACGCCTTGACCAATAAGCATTGGCGTATATGTAACTGAAATGACTTTACAGTCTTAGGTATGTACGTACCTATGGCACTTCCTGTCGACTGCATTAGCTCAGACCTCTAAGATCATGAGGGTTCAAGAACTCTGCTATAACAAGTGAATTTATAACAAGTGAATTTTAACCCTCGCCTGGGTGTGGCTTTTTCCAGCGCCTCTAACGTGTGTGTGTGGGGGGGGGGAGGGGTCGGTTAGACCCAGTGCCGTTCGGCCCCTGATCGAGCTTAGAGCTTCGCGGAAAAAACGAGCGTGCTTCGCTGACGAGAAGAAGCCGACGATACCCAATTTTAAGGTCCTAGGTCATTGGTGACCTTCCAGGTCAGGTCAATGACCCAAAAGTCGGGAAAATCGGGACCTGCTAGAACTTCGTAAAGTGAAGTTGTTGTTTTTTTCGGGGTGTTGATCACGAATTTCATGCTAGGTTTGATCACAGATTGATATCTTCATGCACTGTCAGGTATAGGTCAATTACATAGTAGGCGTCCTGCCGGCTAGGTGTCAACATCCACTGACAGCGTCGTAACATGTTACGAAATACGAAGGCACTAAAACTACTTCGTAAATTTTCAAATCGATGCTAATCGCTAAAATCGAAATCAGCTCCAAAAACTACCTATAGAAACATCAAACATGTAAAACTCAAAAAAGTGAACCAAGGTCATCAAAGGCAGGGGTGTAATTTTATATCTCTTTGTGGGGGCAGATGCACCCACAATCCTGAAATATGCCCCCACAATGATGAAAATGCACCCACAAGTCTTTTACAAGGCTGCAAGCGTCCTTTCGAGAGCACGGCGCCCTTCGCATGCTCTAACGGCGTCCTCCTGACCGTCTCGCGTTTCTGGATAGCATAGCGTTTTATCTCTCGGCGCCCTTCTGGGAGAATGGCGCCCTTTTGACAGCACTGCGCCATTCTCATGGTCTAACGCCGCCCTCCTGACCGTCTCGCGCCCTTATGTCTCTGTCCACCGTGCATCCCTGGACTGTTCGGCGCCCTTCTGGCCTCTCAGCGCCCCTGGACCACATGGCGTTTTCAATCACTCGGCGCCCTTCTGGGAGGATGGCGCCCTTTTTATGGTTTCACGGCGCCCTCGTAACCGTCTGGCGCCCCTATGTCTCCACCAACTTAGCACTACTGACTGTTCGACGCCCTTCTGGCCTCTCAGCGCCCCTGGACCACATGGCGTTTTCAATCACTTGGCACCCTTCTAGGAGAATGGCGCCTTTTCATGGTTTCACGGCGCCCTCGTAACCGTCTGGCGCCCCTATGCCTCCACCAACTAAGCACTACTGACTGTTCGACGCCCTTCTGGCCTCTCAGCGCCCCTGTACCACATAGCGTTTTCAATCAATCCCCTTCTAGGAGAATGGCGCCCTTTTCATGGTCTCACGGCGCCCTCGATAACCGTCTGGCGCCCCTTCGTCCCCACCAACTTAGCATTACTGAATGTACCGCGCCCTTCTGATCTCTCTGCGCCCCTGGATCATATAGCAGTTTTAATCACCTGGCGCCCTACTGGGAATCCCGGTGGCCTCGTAACCTTCTGGCGTCCCTTCCCTTCGGACCCAAAAACTTAGCGCTAACTGACTGTTCGGTGTTAACTGGATGGCGCCCCTCTACATTTTTTTTTTTGACGCCCTTCCGGTCACTTAACACTTTTAACCGTGTATTTGCTTAGCCAGACATGTCACTTGAAGCGCCCTTTGGCTAGCAATGTATTGTTATCAAATTCGGTGTTAGTTTAGGCTTCCACATAAAGAATATCCATTGCGCCCCAAAGCGGCCTGGCGCCCCTACAGCTGGGCACCCACAATCATTTTAGGAAAATTACACCCCTGATCAAAGGTCAGTGACCTTGACCTGACCTTCACGTGACCTCGACACCCACCATAATGCATGGAGCCAACATCATTTCATATGATGAGAACGTTTACAATCACAAAAATTGAAACGCGCGGATAATGTGAGCTGACATACGTCCAGTGGCGGATCCAGGGGGGGGGGGGCAAAATGGGCATTTGCCCCCCCCAAACGGCATAGTTTTAACATTACGCTTATGGACGATGCATGGAAAGAATCGATAAATTTTATGGTTTGCCCCCCCCCCCCAAAAAAAAAACTCTTGAGCTGGATCCGCCTCTGCATACGTCGTATCACGATTCCGGCCAAACATGGTCTCGAGAAATAGGTTACAAGTCAACTGTCAAAGGTCATTTGGGTCAGGGTTATGAAATTTTCAGGTTAGATGTAAAATTGATCAACTCGAGGGTACTTATAGGTAGGTACTCATAGGCGGAGGATCGGGGAGGGCACCGGGGCACCGCACCCCCTTTGCTTTTGGCATTTTAACATTAGCCCTGGACGTTGCATGGAAAGAATGGGACCAAAAGTCGGCAGTGCCCTCCCCTTCCCTTAATTGAGGGTGTTCCGCCGCTACTGTAGGTACTTGCAGTAAATATAACCTTAGCGTAATTTGTTTTGTTGGGTTAGTCCCTTTCGGTACAATGGGACCATTTCAGGGCCGAAAGGATGATAGGAATTAGGGGAAGACATTGGTCTGGGCTGGGCGGGCACCCTAAGGAGTCGCCGGGGCTGAGGCCTGAGCCCGTCCGTTAGGACAGGCCACGAACCCCCCCCCCCCCAAGAACTCCCTGGGCCTGCACCCGGCTATACGGGTGGCTCCCTCAGAGTCGGGAGCTGCTGTGCGCTCCAAGGGAGCAGCCCGGCCCGCATGGCGCATGGGATAAAGCTGCCTATCCAGCTCTAGCCCGGAACAGGGTTGCGGCATGTAGAAGGATTTTAGTATCTTAAGGAAGGATACGACGTAACGGGACGTGATTAGCGTAATGAATAACAGTGTTTTTCATTACACCGTCATAACTTTGGCCCCCATTTGGGCTTCAAGCTAGGCGACTTTGGTCCTTGCTAGGCGGTTTTGGTCTGGTAAGAATTATTTTGGCGAATTATTTCTTTCAATGCAATCGTGATAAAAGGTTTATGGAACTTATTTTTGTGTTTCCATTTTTTAAAGAAAAAGACACAACGCTTTTTATCAAATCAATATTAGCATCCTGATGATGATGAAAACGATGAAAACCAAGTCTTTATATTGATATTTTTGGCAGCGCCGGCGGATCTTTCGGATTCCGGCACCATCCGCTGCAAATATGGGTGAGTGATATTTTAATGATTTTTAATGCGCCCTAACTCTTCAACAACAACATAATGATTTTTAATGAGTTTTTACTATTATACGGCTTGAGTGGTGGAAATATGGTCGGTCGAAAGGTCTGGAAGCATGTTATGAGTATATAAAATGAGTTGCTGGTTGAGACAGGACAGCAGTAGCGTCCAAGGCTATATAAACCAGGTAGAACGCTCCGGGAAAAAAGTTGGAAACAATAAATTAGTTGCGGCATTCCCTGATGACGCGAATGTGGGTCAGCGGCCGGCGGCCGGCCGCCGCTAACACTGTATGAGGAGGGATGCGCGGAACTTTTGCTTGTTGGTGATTGCGCTAGGCAGTTAAATGGTAATGTTAGGATATGTTTCGAAAGTAAATTGAACGACGCTTCGAACGCCGTCAATGAATTTGCGATACGACGACTATTTGTTTAGTTAGAGCCGGCGAACTTTTACCTTCCGACCGCGCGCGGAGGCGATATGGTGCCACACTGGCGGTTTTTACGATAGCTCAAAATTCTTTCGAGATAAAGGGATGAAATTTGACATGTCCTATCTTTTGATCAAGCTGGATCTTATGGTACAAGTCGCATATTTAAGGTAGGTCAGGTTGTTGACCTATGTGGTCGCTCGTGAGCCTTTGCACAGTCCAAAAACAACGCAATTTCTGAACACTCAGTGCCAAGAAATCCTTCACAGAAAGATGACACTTGGCAGAAAGAAGAGTTGTCGGTTTCTTACCGTTCGTATGTGTCGTGTTTTCACAAGAGTTTAGTAAGGTCAGGTCCGTCACGTGACCTCCCCTCATAACTCAATAGGTTTACGGGTTTACTATCATAGAAGCGTTTATCAATCGCCGGAAATCTTAGCCAATCCCACTGGACACTGGATCCAATACCCACATGGGGCCCTCCTGACTGGCCACTCCCTCTGAAATCCATAATAACATTGGGCTGCGCCCACGGTTATGTATTAATGCTTTTCACTAACAGAAATACAACTTCAACCAGCACAGTGCACGCCGCCACAACAGTCCGACCCACGTCCCTGATATCGACTAGCTCCCGGTCGGATGCACATACGCGGAGCCAATCAGTCCGAATGTGACCTGCAGCTTACAATTGCTGTGTCGCATGGCGCATGGCACAGGACGATTCCTAGCAGCTGTCGGCTGGAGTGGAGAAACAGCACGTTGCGACACACCGCGCCGGTGACAGAGCTCAGCAGGGCTGGTTGGAGGCTGGAGCCGGAGGTAAGGGCGGACACAGGCACAGACATTGCAGGACAAATAACAGGATGTCAGTTAGGGATATAATTCAAGACGAATGATTCAAGACGGACTGAAATAATACACATTTTGCTCACTTGGATACCAACTTCAAACTTGACGTTTATGTATAGCACCATGGAAACAATGGGCACACAGGAAAGAAACAAAAGATGAGGGTTTTTTAACTCAAGGAAGTAAAACAGCCCGAAGTGCAGACAAGCACATACTTTTGGTAATAGCTATCAGCTGTCCTACTCCTCTTCTCCCTTCATCAACTACTGGACACATTTGAAGCATCATATATAGCACCAATGTCCATAACCAAAGCTTGCAAGTAGTTTTAACTTCTATGAAGCCAGGGGAAATGTGCCTACATTATGCATGTAAACTCAAAATTACACATGCATGACAAAGGAAGCTTATGTAAAGAGAATAGTTGACAAAAGCATCTCATGGTTAAAATTATTCAAAACTGCACACAGGGCAAACATAACAAGCAGCAAGTGTACTGTTCTGTTATGCTAAGAAATAGTCCAAAACAAAATACAATCTTTTCATGTTTGAACTGGTTGTTCTTCTATGCCCCTTCATCCATATCTTGATTACAGATGGGCTGTTACTGTAGGCTGATGAAGTGACACTTGATTGCCTTTGTGCGAGTTTCAGTTGCAGCCTCCTTGGTACTGCACTGGAAAGCAGATTGAATTGAATGCCTCTGAAAGATAGGAATAAGGCAAAGTTAGCTGTAGTAGTGTCAATGATAATAGACATGACATTTTTGTCCTTTGACATACATTTGTTGAAGTACAAAAAGGTACAAAATAAATTGGTTTGTTTCAAGACACGCACACTGCACAAAGCCGCACAGACATTACACAGGCATATGAAATTGGTACACATAAAAATTGATGATTAAAAAGGTCAAAACTTGCAATAATAATTGAAGTAAAAGTTACAATCACAATCATTTGATTTAAAATGACTTGACATAAGTCACAAGACGCAACGCTCCTATTCTTTTATGCTTTCATTATCCTCCACATATCAACCAGCTTGATACCAGGCTGTGCAATAGTGTGTACATAACCCCATGTTGCCATTTTATTAGAGCAAGTGGGGTTACAACAACAATGCTAATGTCAAACCCACTTCTGCAACCCGTACTGCAGTTTCAATCACCTTACAAGCACACCTTCTGGCAGTTTGATAGGCAGAATGGTCATTACTACTTTCCCCTCATATTCAACACATATTCCCTTTATACAGATACAGTTTAGACCTGGTTATGGCAAGCACTTTCGAGAAAAGATATGATTAAAGTCCAAGACAAAGGTCGAGAGAAATAACACCAACATAAAACACCGACTATGTAGCACTAATACTGTCAAATTCATAAAAATATATACATGAGTCGATCAGAAATTCACTGTAGATTTCGAAAATGGTGTCAAATGCCACTCAAATACTCCCATTCGCATGTACGAAGCAATAAAACACTGACCTTCAATTCCGCGTGCCATTCTCCATAGGCCACTGTGTATTAAATAACGCGTTCACTGATAGCAAAAAAAGAGACCCACATATGACGCGTTTGCTACCAGCCAATCAGCGCTCGAGTTACCGAGCGCTGATTGGTGGAAAGGGCCGTCGTCAGCAGCTAATTACACGTTGTTTTCCTTGAACATGTGCGTGGGCGCTGATGCTGCTCACGGGCTGTTGCCATTTTTCGTAATGCTGAAGGCACGGGAGCGAACCCCCCTGGTAGCGTCGCATCTCAATCTCTTGTTTACCGATTTCAGTCGCTGTTTACGGCTTTTAGGTCCCTATTTTCCTTCCACTGAGCGTCTGGAATCTGGATAAGCGGATTTCACACTAAACGCAAGAAGGCTGAGGACTTAAGGGTAATTTCATGGATGATCACATGTCAGTTGGGAACCTATAGGGAAACAAAACATCGTGAATGTTTCGAGAACATGATGCGACATCAGAGCATCCCATAGGCTTAAAGTGACCATCCCACCTTAACATTAGTTTTGAGTTGAGATAGCCAAATTGGTGGCCATGGCCTGAAAATACCGGTTTGGGCACTCACAACACCGAAAAATGCTTTAATTTGGAGATATGGAATTTCAAACTTGCAGTTTTTGGATTCTCAGTGGCTAATGCATTTGGATGCCCCCTTAGAATTTGTGACATCAGCGGAGATGTAACAATTTTTAAATATTTTACTAAAACGTTTGGTAGCACGCGGTGGTATGTCAGTAGGTGGAACTATGGTCATGAGTACCCAAATATAAGAACGTTCCCATTTTTGGGAACGGAGTTCCCAAATATGGGAACGGGCGTTCCCATTTATGAGAACGGAAGGTAATTTTTCGGCCGTTCGCCCACTAAAACTCATTAGTGCATCACGTCTCAAAAAAGTGCACGCTAATTTAAGTATCTACTAAGTCTCTATAAAATTATCTTTAATCTGACCGTTGAACAAGGAAATTGACCGTCGAATGATATTTTTAATGATTTTTTTGAAATGACGGAATGGTGAAAACATGGGTTATACTACATTTTATACATTTTATACATACTACATTTTTTACATTTTGAGGTCAAGTATAATAATTTTCGTCTGGTTATGAAGTTTCATACTAGCGACACCAGATGCTGACATATGCAAGCGAACACGCGGACAGTCCCGGGATAATATTGTTGACATTTGGTGTCGGGGCGCACGACCGAATGGAACGTCAGTGATTTTACCGAACTACTGTTGTAAACTCAGTTTCAGTGGTTTAAAATTATTCAGCTGTATTTTATCATCCCGGAAAGACATATTTTATTTGGATTCTAGCTGTTTAGAGTTGTTTTATAAGGAGCGTCATGAGCGTGGTTTTTGTCTTCCGTGTTTCTAAGCGTGATCGTTTTGGGGGAATTTCTCTTATATAGGTCGCTCTGTGTGGCTTATTTATAATTGTTATGCTGATTTCGATCGTTCCTCGTGCCCATCCTACCAGACCTTTTGCCACTTACACTAATCAAGAAAGGAAAAAACTAGATTTTCATTGGGACTAGGTGTTTTGAGGGTGTTATATAATACTGAACGAGGCTGGTGTAAATAAATTTTCAAGACCGAGGTCCTTACTGGATTTTTGAACGAGGCCGAAGGCCGAGTTCAAAAATCAGTAAGGACTGAGGTCTTGAAAATTTATCACCGGCCGAGTTTGGTATGTATTTTACTGTATGCCAACGATAAATTTATTTTCTGGAACGAAGCTCTTAGCCGACTTAGGAACGAGACCATCCCAAAATGTTGGCTTTAGTGCATTCTGGTAATGCATTTTTGACCGTGGTCAATTTGCTTACACCAACTTATTACCACACCCCTCTTGCTAATGTATTTGAATAGGCCAGGCATACAGTAAAACATATTCAGCGTTCCCATTTTTGGATACTTCCTGTGCTTGTCAACTATCGGTGATAAACAGACAGGTGCTTGACATGTCTCCACCCTCGGCGCGGACGGTGGATATAGGTATGGAAGACCTTGTTGAACATCGCTGAGCGTCGTGAATTACGTAATCCTGCAGAGGGGGGCGTGCCCGCTGCGAGATCGACGGGAATAAAAGCGCAGAAGACCGGGCGAAACATGCGACGGTCTTGCCGGAAAGGTCATCTGATGATTGTTGCGTTAACAATAATTTGCGGCGTTGGACGTGATGCTTGTTAATGAAAAGAGCCCCTGAAAGGCGTCGATGAAATCGTTCCCAATTTTGGGTACGCCGTTCCCATAATAAGGAACGCTTGCAGCGCCAGTGTACGAGAGCGTTCCCAAATTTGGGCTCGCGGCCCGGATGATGGACTGCTTTAGAAATAGGGGAATGATTTGAAACTACGATGGGTCTTACAATATCAAACTCTTTCCCAACAATATTGAGACAAATATCAGGCGGTTCACGATCGTTTTATATTTTTTGGACGTCATTTAACGGTTCTTTTTCTTGTTTTAAATAATGCCTACATGGCGTTCCCATATTTGGGTTTATCGTTCCCAAACATGGGAACGAAAATGCGTTCCCGAAAATGGGTACGCTTGACCATAGTTCCGCCTACTGATGTGCTGCTTTGCGTGCAACAAATGCCGCACTTTCAAATAAAGTCTCTAGGAACAGAGGAGATCCCAAAAAGTAAACAAAAGTAAAAGTCTAATGTCTTGAAAACTGATGAATATTTTTTGATGAAATTTGGTAGATATTCATTTTCACTCTTTCAGAACCCAGCGCAACATCACTTTCATGCCAATTCATTAACTTTTTTGAAGGTGGGAGTGTCACTTTAATGGTGGGGGTTTGGTACCTACATATTTTACAAAACCATTTTAGGACTTAGTAGAATTCATAAGGAAAAAAATGACTTGTGAAAAATGACCAAATTAGTATTTTCACTAGAGCTGCTGGAGGTGAGCTTGAGCTATGGCTTGTTTGAGCACTATGATCAATATTTTGGCGTTGAAAAATGACCTTGTGTTCATCTCTGGTGAACTGATCATAACATGAGGCCAAAATGATGTATTTTGGCATGCTTCGTCTAGGAAGACAACCCAAGTAGAAATAGGTATATCAGTAATACCTTTTGGCCTCATTTTGCAATCATTTCAGTACCAGAACATGAGTAGGCTATTTTTCAAGACCATGCTTTTCACTAGAGCATTGAATAGTGAAAAAATGAAAGTTATGCAAATGGGCTGGGGGGGGGGGGGGGGACTGGGAACACCTGTGCCACACAAAACCAGGCCATGAACTCGCTAGCGGATCCAAAAGGATGGCCTTTGACCCTGTGGGGGCTTACCCCAGGAAAAAATAGTATGCAGTGCTCTAGCGAGGAACATCTTGATATATGTAGGTAGGATTTTAAATGACCTTTTCCTCGATAATTAATTGGAAATTCAATAAAAAGTAAATATTATATTGTTTGGCAAATTTTCGAACAACAGTTCATTCTCAAGCCACATGAAACAATATTGTTTCATGTTCATTCAGTTCACACAACAGTTCATTCTCAAGCCACATGAAACAATATTGTTTCATGTGGCTTGAGAATGAACTGTTGTTCGAAAATTTGCCAAACAATATAATATTTACTTTTTATTGAATTTCCAATTAATTATCGAGGAAAAGGTCATTTAAAATCCTACCTACATTTACCCCAGGAAATTTTATTGTTTTCTAAAATTTCTCAGCCTTTCATTCCATATTGACTCCTGTGCAGTTGAAAACAAACTTCTATTAAAAGTTTTGTTTCATTTAAAAAGAAAATACAAACTTGGTTGGTTTCAGGTTTTGCGGGGATCATCTGCCACTTGCCAGTGCTATATTTACTGGCAAAAATGCCAAAATTTTATGGCAAACCTCAAGTTTATTTCATTCTTATGTTTGCAGACTCCCTGATGGAAAATGTGTTTGTGTCCAGCCAAAATTTCAGTTCAATTCTAAAGGCGTCATTGATAATGTTACATTTACTAGGCTTTATGTTCGCAGCTCATGATCTGATGCATGACCCTTATGATGACCCTTATGATCCTACTGTGAGCCCATTTTCTTGAGCATCTACAAAAATTAGATGCTCTGCAGCGTAAAATACTACTCTTTGATCATTGTTGTGCAGATGAAGTGTTAGGTTCCCTCAGACATCACAGATCAACTTCTCCAGTGCTCAAGAAGTGCAATGTTTTCCTGAAGACTGCCGTATAAAGGCAAAACCCATTATGTTCGGGTGACCTCTGACCTGAGGTAATGGCCTCTGACCGGACATAATGGTTTTTGTCTTTGCACGGCAGAAGTGTTTCCAACTCATATAGTTGTGTTTTTGTGAAAAAAAAAACTGACAATCTTGAGGAGAGTGAATTTTATGACAAGAACTTTGATTTTTGTCAGAATTTAGGTAGGCTGCCATTTGTGACATTGTGACTTTGTACTGTTCAGGTAAGCCCCGTGGTCTGCGCACTGCTCGCAAGCACGTCAAGAACCGCCGTGAGAACCGGTGGGCCGACAATGACTACAAGAAGGCCAACCTGGGAACGCGCTGGAAGGCCAACCCCTTCGGAGGCGCCTCTCACGCCAAGGGAATCGTCCTAGAGAAAGTGTAAGTTGACATTTGATCTGTTCTAGTGATGCAGTTACATGGCTGGACAGCAGCTAACGGCTGGGAGGACCTGAGGTTGATTCGTGGTGCTGCCTGCCCCCTAGTCTTGTCCCCATCCGGCCATCCAGGGGTGCAGTGGGCTCTGAATGCTGAAACTATAGGAAAGTTTTGTCTGTTGTAGATAACGTTTTCAATTCATCTTAATTGTGAACCATGTGTAGCCATTTGAATGGTCAGCATTCATTCTACAACAGCTGTAGGCTCCATTGACTGCCACAACCTCATGCCAGCTTCTGTAAAGCATATTTCTCAATGTGAAAATGTACCATGTGTAATTTCAACATAAACAGCATGAGACGACTGATCTAAAATGTTTGCTTTTGAATATCGTCGGATTTGTCATCAGCGTTATCTCGTCTCACATTCTCCCAATGACGATTTCCCCTCCTCCGCAGCGGTGTGGAGGCTAAGCAGCCGAACTCGGCCATCCGCAAGTGCGTGCGTGTGCAGCTGATCAAGAACGGCAAGAAGATCACGGCGTTCGTGCCGCGTGACGGCTGCCTCAACTACGTGGAGGAGAACGACGAGGTGCTGGTGGCCGGCTTCGGTCGGAAAGGTCACGCCGTCGGAGATATTCCCGGTGAGTGACAACGAAGACGTTAGGATGGTCGGGTGGTGACGGCTCGAGTGGTGACGCCAACGCTCGGATGGTTGAAGTCGTGGTCTGGATGCTGTTTCGATCGAACGAAGCTCCTTTTTTGGTGGTACTGATAGTGGCGTATGAACGACCTCTCCCTGGTCAGACCGATGGCACCTGGTCTATATGCGCCACCTGCCATGCATTTTTCGCACGTTGTTTCGGTTTGGTCCGTCAGGCTAATCCATGTTGTTTTTTACAATTGTTGCATCATATAAAGGTTCTGATTTTGAAATGAACAAAAGCGCCGGTGCGTGCTCCCTAGTGAAATTCGAACAGTCATTCGTCATGCATTTCTTCGCTGCACAAATCCTAGTAAGCACGTTGCTTCGCATCGTATTTCTTCATCTTCGGTTAGGTTAGGCAGGTTAGGTTACGTTGTGTTTGTTAAGACTGACGAAGAAATGCGATGCAAAGCTCAAGTTAGGTTGCGTTAGGCTAGGACGACTAACAAATGCGCAGACGAAGATTTGCTTGACGAAGAAATGCGAAGCGAAAGCTGGTCCTTGAACCAGTTCCTTCTAATTTACCATTTGGCACAACTTGTTTTGTTCAGAAAATTTTGACATTGACCCGCGTTTTGCCTTTTTTCTGCTGATGCTCTGTTCTGTGTGTTCTGACGGGCTGTATTCCTTCCTCAGGTGTGCGTTTCAAGATCGTGAAGGTTGCCAACGTGTCCCTGCTCGCCCTGTACAAGGAGAAGAAGGAGCGTCCCAGGTCGTAAACCAATACATGTGAGGTCGTCGACACTTTTGTTTTCTGTGGTGACTTCAGTCGGGAAAACGGAGGCTGGGCTGGTCTGGGGTGGGTGCTGACCGATTTTACGATTGCGAGCCAGAGATCTAGATTGGAGGATAGTTAGTGTTACAGAAGTGGAACGGTAGTACAGTGGTGATCACAGTTGGGGCTCGCAAGCACTCGTTGGCTGCTAGGGGTAAACAAACGGTGACACAAATAAGGCAGCGCAGCCGCACATTCGCAGACATGTCGTTGACTGATGTAGAGGGCATTTGGCAGATCGTCATCGCATCATCAGTTATACTGTAGTACCTTGGTGAACTGGGGACACTGGGAGAGAGCTCCGGGCGTTGACTTATCACAGTGCACCGAAAGCGACGTTGATCCACCCATGAGACCAGTGGCGGCGGAAGGTATTCTAGGATAGGGGTGCAAACGATATTGAAGCGCCCCTTCCCGCTGGGCGCCCCTTACCATATACACGGTTGTAGTAACACAAACAGTGAAGAGACGTTTGACAATGTGTTGTACCTGTTAATACGTTCAGAATTACAGTTTTTATGTAACGAGAAATAGTTAGGTACATTCCATAGCGTAAATGTAACCTTCATAATGTTCGTTTAGAACAACCTCATCACCATATCATAAGATTCTCCGAATAAGGCATATCGAAAAGAGTTCCACGGTTCAGTGAAATTAATGCCGCCCCAATCTCCGATAGACGCCCCAGGTGATACATGTCGCCCATCAACACCAACGGGCGCCCCATTGAAATGAATACCGCCCTTCAACACTGGCAGACGCCCCAGTGGAATGAATGCCGCCCCACAATGCCGATGGCCGTCTCTGCACTGGAAAATCAGTTTCGCCCCTATACAGGCGCCCATATAGAAGTTTGCAGAATGCTATTCCTGGTCATAATCATCTCCCCAGTAAAAAAACGCAAAATACGCCCTAGCACTAGGGGTGTAACCGCCCATACGGACAGTGCAATTTTACAGGCCCCAATCTCGGACCTCCGTTAACATTCATATGTTGTAAACGGCAAACCGCCCCCGATAAATGTTACACAAACTAATTTCCTCTCGCATATCGGCCATCAGGCGCCCCTTTTTGTCGCACGAAGCCTGCAACGCTATAAGCCCTCATATGTTCGTGTTGGCGTTCGGAGGCTATCGCCTTCAAAGACGTCTCCATACATGTTTCTTTTTCGTCCCACACACAGGCGCGGCGCGCCCCTCTTTCGCATGCAGGCGCCCCTCTTCCGCATGGCGCGCTTCTCGAGTGGCTGCGCCCTCCTAGCCTTTATCGCCTGGCAAGATTATATTCGACAGGGTCGGCAGCATCTGCCTTTGTTTCAGATAAGGATGCCCTCCACTCTTCAGCATATCAAAAGATACTTTTCCTACGTCATTGCCACCCTCTTCGTGTCACAAGTGCCTTTATCAGTTGCGGTGTCGCACTGCTCAGCTTTATGGCCGCCGCACCTCTTAACTTCCTGCCTCCTCTACAGATTTTCGAGGCGCCCCTTTCCATAGCTTTAGGGTGCAGCTGCCCCCCTTGCCCCCCTGCTTCCGCCGCCACTGCATGAGACGATAGTTACGAACGGGAACAGATGAAATCTCGGCCACGACTGAAGGGATTTTGGTAGAGCGACGGGAGCTGGCGGTCTGGCCGGAATAGGTGTCGCTGATGTCGGGAGGACGGCACTGTCGGAGGCGGAATGAAAGCCGTAGGCACTCTAGGGATTTGCCATAAACTCTTCATCTGGCCGGCGCGTTGAATGATTTATTTTTGTCTGGAAGGATCGACGAGGTGTTACCTTTAGGTCAAGGCCAGGTCTAAGCCGATCAGGTCAGGTTGCGGGTCGAGGAGGTCATGTAAATCATTCTATCTGCTGGCTCAGCCTGAGTTCATTAATGCCTTCACTGACTCGTTTTCTTAACGTGATGGGGAGTTATTCACGAATATTATTGACGAAATGGACGGGAGCATTTTTTCGCATGTGACGTCAGTAAGGCTTAAAATGCAAAACCTAAGCATCGGAATCGGACCTTGCGAAAAAGCGCATCACTAACAAATTCATGTGTGAATGAATCACGAATTCGTGTGTCTTACCATTTCACGCGCTAAGTTTTCATGCTTGAATTAGCCTATCAACTGCTGAGGTCCGTGGCCGATCCGATCTTAGGGGACCCTTAGGAAAATCCGAGATGCTACGAATGTGAGGATTTGGGAGAGTTTCGTCTTGGTGCGTGATATTCCCTGGTACATAAGTGACCTTATAGGTCAATGACCTGACCTGACCTCGAAATGTCACTGGCGTGTGACAAAACATTTAATTCGTATGAATCGTTTGCGAAAAAAGCCTGGACTGTGGCTTAGACGCCATCGGCCGGGAGGGTTGAATATTCCACGTTATTTCCAGCTAACTTAAATTCACTGAAAAGGCTCTGAAGCTTTTTCTGGCATCAACCCTTCGAAATTATGTGTTGATTGGACAAAGTTGCCAATTCTTTTTCAAATTTATTTGACCCAGCATCTGGAAGCTGCACCTTTTCCCGCTCATTATGTGCACGGTGACTATAAATACACGATTATGTGCACAGGTTAATTTGTGTTCGTCTGATTATGTACACATACCTAGTCTGACGAATGCAGATTATGTGTAGGTACACATCTTACTAAAAAAAAAATACTGAACCTAATGAAGCCTTCACATCCTCCATTTAAGCATCACGTATGAAGCAAGACTTTCTTGTGAAGGATGTATCTGATGCGCTTTATGTGCCGTTGGGCATGCTTTTACAGCAGTGAGCAGATATTGCTCATAATGACAATAGGGTGAGATGCTTCTAACTTCTAAGCTCGTCATGAACTTAACAAGAGACATTCAGGGTATCTTAACCCGCGCCCCGTTGGGCTCTGCCGAGCAACGCGCCCCGTTGGGGGGGGGGGGCATTTTGGTCCCCCCCCCCTAAGATCTCGGGAACCACGCAACCTAGCGACAAGCGGCAAACGGTGTTGGATAGCCCTATCAGGGAACTACCTTGTGACCCAATTTTATTGACCTAGGTCAAACCGATGACGTCACAGGTCAGGTCAAAGGTCCAATTTTCACCGTTTACAGGCATTTCAAGAAATGCGTTGTAAAATCGAGTAAAATGCATTTCATTGAAAATCATCGATGGGGAAATGTTCTTCAAACACATATTTTGCTTTTTGAGGTCACTGATACCAGGTCAGGTCACAGAGGTCAGGTCACTGGGGGGTCACAATATGAAAGTGTCGTGTGATACATGTTTTATGGTCTATTTAACATGACAAATGCGATTATGTGGGTCAGGCAGCCTTTGGGGCCAGCTTAGGTCACGTTTTGGTCAAGGTCAGGTCAAATTAGGTCAAATTTCAAAGTTGATATTTTTGCATAAAATGGGTATCGAATCGATGCAGCTCGTCACGGGGAGTTCAATGGTGGTCTTTGTTTTGCCGTACGTGGTCTAGAAGCGCTAAAAATTGAGTTCAAAAATTTGACGTCATCATTTTTGAAGTTTTTTCGCTATAACTTGGCCAAAAAACGAGATATCGATCTGAAATTTGGTATGTATATAGAAGAGCACAGGGGCTATCACATATATTCCGGTTTTTTCGAAATTCGGAATGTTTGATTTTTTTAGTTTTTCTAAAAAAATCAATTTTTTGAATTTTGAGGGTCAAAAACCCAAAATTTTGAAAATCCGAGATAGCAGTTTTGTAGCGCCGCTTTTTTGTCTACCAGACCATATAAAGAACTTTGAAATTGCTTGATAACTGTAGATTTGGTGAGCGTTTCAAGATTGCATGTTTTTTGCTCATTTTTGCTCGAACATGACCTCAGTTTGACCTCAATAACTCCTGACCTAAGGTGACCTAAGACTTGAAATTTGGTGTGAAGGTGTCAAATTGATGCCCGGGAAGGTACTGAAAATTTGGCGGCGCTGCGCGCCGCCGTTTTCTTGCTATTCAGGAAAAACCACAGGGGGTCCAAAATGACCCTCCAACGGGGCGAGGGTTATTAATTAACCCGCGCACCGACGGGGGTCTGCGCCAACTTAGAACCGACGGGGGGAGGGGGGCGGATAACCGCCCCCTCCCTGAGAGTTGAGAACGAAGCAAGATAGCGACAAGCGGTAAACGGCATGGGGTACGCACGGACAAGGTCTACAATTTTTACAAAGGTCATTTTCAGGTCAGGTCAAAGATGACGTCACAGGGGTAAAAAAGTCAAAATGGCGGTGCTAGATATGGATAGTTTTTCTCGAATAGCTTTCGAATTAGTCAAGACATGAACAATTTAAGGGCATCATCGTGATCCTCCCGTCAATCCGCATCGAATGATAGGTATATATGTTGACCTCGAAAGGTCAAGGTCAAAGGTTGACCTCAGGTCACGTGACCTTGAGGTCATCATGCATATCATTCGATGCGCCTTGACAAGCTGAACACAATGAGACCATCCGCGCGGCTGTATCTTGTTCCTGTACGGAGTTATTGGCAAAAAAACTTTGGTGACCTTTGATGACGTCACATGACCTTACAGCAGCCCAACAGCAAAACAGACCTCAAGGTAGTGAAGGTTGATCGTATATGAAGTCATGTATGGTATATGGGGCCATTCCGACCTGTTTTAGTGGTAAAACAGGGAGCTGATTTTCCCCCATTGACTTATAATGGGGAGGTCGAGAAATTGACCTGACCTTAGGTCATCGATATCAAAATTCCGAGATAAGCAAATTGTAGCTACTAATGACCTAACAACATTCTGCGACTTTCAAAGGCCTCCGACATCTACTGTAGCTCTGACACGGTGACAAAGTTGCAAAAAAAGTGACTTGAGGTTGGGTCATTCAAAGTGACCTGGTGACGACCTTAAAAGTTAAGAGGTTCAAACTTGCACACCATGTGTAAAATTGATGATAGAATGGTGATACCAAATTTCGCGGCACTACGCGCCGCGGTTTTCCCGCTAT